GTACTGCAGCTTTTTCAGATATTACTATTAATGTAAGCACACAGAACACCAAGTAACATCCTGCTCGAACGTCTCAAATGTATCCTAAAATGAAGATAACATTTTTAAATAATTCATTACCTTTAATTCAGTCAGAAGATTTTATATTCATCATCTGAGTATGACCACTGCACTAGTCTCCTGAACCACAGTGTAGAAGAACACAACCAAATTAGGACACTATTTCTGAAAGGGATAAAGAGAGGGAGAGGTGCACTGCTGTCCAGCTATGTCAGTAACATCACCCGCCTCCAGCGGGACAGCGGACAGGCTCACACAGACAGTTGTAGCGAATCAGCTCAAGTTTCGCTAACCCACAAACAGTTGCTTGTCGCAGTTTGAAGTATGATAAGGTATGGTGTAATATTTCTGTCTCAACTTCTCCACAAATAGTCTCTACGGTCTGGCGTGCAGCCAGCAGAAAGAGCTCTGACAAAGTAGATGAGAGTGGCTGCTAAAGATGAAACATTATCAAACCATAGGGAAGATGCTGGAGGAGACCTGATAGGTCCATTTCACTGACAGAAACGGGCCTTTCCCATGAAACTCCCAGTCATGAGCGTACAAAGAAATAGGAAGGGAAAAAACCTGATAATATCTGTGCTAACAAAAATATATTTTTTTGTTTTTCTGTTTCAAGCAGTGCATATTTATTTCACCACTCATATTAATAGGTTACAATATTCACACTATGTGTGTGAGAGAACCGTAGGTGTAAATAGAGTTTCGACACAGAGTCTTTTTTTGTCGTTGTTGTTGTGTGTAGACTGCTGAAGGCAGTACAAAACAGAAAATGTATTATGAACCTATGATCATTTGGAATATGTTTTATTAACGACATACAATAATGCATTTTTCTTGAAATGATCAAGTTTGTAATAGTCAATGCCACACTCTCAACAGCCATTTTATAATCAGCCCTGGGATGTCCTATATATCCATATTAACTGTGGGAATCATAACGCTTCACATAACGCTGCCAGGTCAAGTTTTTCTCAGGTTTATATAACATGCATATTTCAATTCAGTTTTATTTCAATTAATCAAAACTAATTTAAAAAGTTTTAGTTTTAGTTAACAATAACAACACTGGACCAGTTGCAGGACTTAAAATATACACTTTACATAATACATTCATATACATTTTACCCTAAAAAAGTAAAACATTCATAAATTCCATTAGGTCGTAAATGTATCTGGTGTCAGGGTTGCCATGGTAACCAGGGTCCTGGGCCTTGTTCACAGACAACTTGGCACCCAGTATGTTTATTGGGTGAGGGGTCTGTGAACGTTTGTTAATCTAATGAATAATTGATTTGTTAAATCAAATGAAAAATGGTGTGTCTGATTGGTCCAGACGCTACACAGTTGATACACAGGAGAATGAGACAGCAGTGACACCGTGATGAATGAAGAACCTGTGGAAAGTAGCAGGCCGAACAGCTGGGAAGGTGAGGTTAATGAGGGGCTCAGATATACCAAAATCCCAGCTTTCATAAACACAGGGCGTTATAGAATTAAACGGCACGGCTGGGCCACAGAGGTCACAGTCCAGTCAGAGCCAACAGCAGCGCTGCCATGTGCACCCCTCACCACTCATTAGACAGTTTCGCTAACCCACAAACAGTTGCTTGTCGCAGTTTGAAGTATGATAAGGTATGGTGTAATATTTCTGTCTCAACTTCTCCACAAATAGTCTCTACGGTCTGGCGTGCAGCCAGCAGAAAGAGCTCTGACAAAGTAGATGAGAGTGGCTGCTAAAGATGAAACATTATCAAACCATAGGGAAGATGCTGGAGGAGACCTGATAGGTCCATTTCACTGACAGAAACGGGCCTTTCCCATGAAACTCCCAGTCATGAGCGTACAAAGAAATAGGAAGGGAAAAAACCTGATAATATCTGTGCTAACAAAAATATATTTTTTTGTTTTTCTGTTTCAAGCAGTGCATATTTATTTCACCACTCATATTAATAGGTTACAATATTCACACTATGTGTGTGAGAGAACCGTAGGTGTAAATAGAGTTTCGACACAGAGTCTTTTTTTGTCGTTGTTGTTGTGTGTAGACTGCTGAAGGCAGTACAAAACAGAAAATGTATTATGAACCTATGATCATTTGGAATATGTTTTATTAACGACATACAATAATGCATTTTTCTTGAAATGATCAAGTTTGTAATAGTCAATGCCACACTCTCAACAGCCATTTTATAATCAGCCCTGGGATGTCCTATATATCCATATTAACTGTGGGAATCATAACGCTTCACATAACGCTGCCAGGTCAAGTTTTTCTCAGGTTTATATAACATGCATATTTCAATTCAGTTTTATTTCAATTAATCAAAACTAATTTTAAAAGTTTTAGTTTTAGTTAACAATAACAACACTGGACCAGTTGCAGGACTTAAAATATACACTTTACATAATACATTCATATACATTTTACCCTAAAAAAGTAAAACATTCATAATGTTTGCAGTGGTTCTATGAATATATATGTACACCAGTAGGGCCCATTTTCATGATCTCATCTAGGGCCCCACAAATCCATGGTGCAGCCCTGTTTTACATTTATGGCCACAGAAGGAACAGTGGAACAAATCAGAAAGAGAAGAAACAACCAAACATCTCACACACACTAGAACATACAACTTGAGCAAAAATGTCATCTGATTGATGGATGCTCTGAGGGCATTTAGGTGTGAATCTTCTTCTGGGCCTGTGCGCGTGTTGCTGTCTGGGTAAAGATTAATTTTTTTCCTATTGATTTCACAGAAGCAGAATCAGCGTAGCATGTCCAGGCCTAAAGAGCAGACAGAAGCGTTTAACTAGCATCTCTGTTGGTGCTCACTCCATTACTGTTAGGCCTATCTGATGCATTTACATGACATGCTTTAGAGTTTTCTTGTTTTCTCACATCAAACACAACTCGATGACTCTCTAAGTGCGAGCAACCACAAAGCATCTTTATGATGTTCACAACTGTAATTACTTACAGCTGCATTTACCACTTATGCATTACTAAAGTGTTTGACTGAACTGAGATTTAGCATAATATCCTTAATGGTCCAAAATAAATGTAATGGATGGTGAAACAGTACATGTATTTGACATGCACTGCTGAAATTAAGCAATGCTAAATGGGCATGAATAAAGCAATCAATCTCAAAACACAAATATCCCATTATTTAGGCATGTGGGCTTCTTTGCAGTTGTGCCAAATCAGAAAATCTTTACAAAACACTTTTTTTTTCTTTAAAAATGTTTAAATGAAGTATAAATAAATGTCAACGCATGGAAAAGCCAGGCAAGACCTGCTCTGATTCCCAGCTAAAGGGAAACCTACTGCCCTTCAATCCGGTCTGAATGTCTATTAATGTAACTGAACATCAACAATAGAGCGCTAACAAAGTGGCAGACCAAAGGTGAAAAAGAGCCAGACCAAAGAGAAAAAGATTACATATATTTCTAAAATAAACATATTTAAAGCAATATTTCAATACTTCTGAATTCAGAAAAAAGTTTGAACAATAATATTTAATGCAATGATAATATATAAGAAATATTATATGAAATAAATGCAATTTACATTATGCAGCTAATTATATTCACATAAACTTTTAGTTACATTTAATAATATTAATACTATTGTAGGAATGACAGTACAGTAGTTGATCATGACGTGGAAATAGGAAGAGGAAATACACTAATGTACTGAAAACCACAGCACTATATAATATTTTTTAAATAAAACAACATGCTCCCTTTCTATTTGTTTTGAAAACTTCCACACTAATACAGACCCTCCGAGTGGCTCTCGTAATGTGTGCTTCCAGTGAGGACACCAGGATAAAATCACTGTGCTTCTCCAGCAGACAGAAACATATTCATCTACCCAAGAGCAGCATAGTAAAGATGAGAGACAAGCCAAAGACAACAGTATGATCAGTGAGTGTTTATTCAGGCTCTCCTTTATTGTGGACTCCATTAAGATACTCCGTGGCTGACTGCCGTTTATGACCTTGGGTAGTGTGTCATGAGCAATCTTTACTCTTTTTCGTTATGTTTCTACCCAGCGTGTCTTTTTCTAATGATTGAGAGCACATCTAATTACTTGCAAACATGCACACAAACATTCAGCTTCAACAAATATTCAGCCCTCTCTGAAGACTGACAACATGAATCGCGTCCTCAATCAGCTACAGCGAAAAAGCTCTCTCTCTCACACACACACACAGCTCACGCTGTTCCTGCTCCACAGATCCTGTTGAGACATGAAGACCCTGTGCCTTTGGTGATTACATGATGAGCTGTAATTAAGCAAGCCGATTGGAGATTTACCAGCATCTCCCAATTACATGACAGCACAGGTTTGTGAAGAGAATGAAGCATCCCACACATCAAAAATGATTACATTCCCTCACAACAGAGATGTGGGCTGCTCCAGGACATCACGGAAGATGACAAACAAACCTGGTCAAATGGTCGAGCTGTATTTCCCCCCATATCACCAGAATCCATCAACAAGCCATCTATCCATCAACCCAGGGCATTGATCTCTCAACTGAGTGTGAAATATAAACACTATCTGCACTCAGCTCTGACATGACAGACAAACTATGACAATATAGACCATAACAAAAGCACTAAGCAGGCAACATCCTGCACGTGAACTGTACAAAGCACAGGAAACACCCAAAATCAACTCCTGTGAGACGATGAGCGATAGAAACCCAAAATAAAGACAAAGCACGCCAATTAATTCAAAAAAGCTAGATAAATGAGCACGTTTTGGTGTGACAGTATCTGATATGCAGGCTTTCAGTGTTGACATAAGAGAACAGACACCGTGAGAGGAAAACAAGGGTCACTGGCTCGGCAGACAGCACTTATCGGTACGTGAGCGAGCAGAGAACAGATGTGCGTGAGACAAAGAAGGACAAATCGTACCCTACCTCTGCTTGTTCAGGTGATGGTGTACGTCAAATCCTGCCTGATCTGAGTGCTGTCACGTTCACAGCATGGATGGGCTCACAAACAAAATGCTACAGGCAGTGCTGGAACCAGCTCAGTCAGCGGCAGAAACATCCCTCCCCTCCTGCATGAATTAATTAAACCTTCTCTCGCTCGCGCTCCCTCTCCCTCTCGTGATTATCCTTCAGTGTTGTAGGCAACGCTCTCCTTTGGCTGTAGCGGATGAAAATGTCCCTGCACTTTCTTTTCTGACAGCCTGTTTACAGAGCGCTCCGCTTCTCTCTCGCTCTCTCGCTCTGCACACTCTCTCTCAAGAACAGTGCAATATCAAAGTGCTTCTCATAGGGCCAGCCCTCCCCCTTGTGAACAACCCTAACCACCACAGTTAGTGCCCCTCTCCAGTCTTTTACAAAATGTGCTATAATGTAGAATAAACTCTAAAAATCATTTATGTGTGTAATGCCTTTTTGGGATTAAAAGAAAACTGAATAATATATAAAGAATTCTGAATAATGTGACATTTGTATTGTTAACATCAACTTTAAAACATATGGCTTTAAATAGTCTTTGAGTCATTTACTGTGACTTAATACATTTTCTATATTTTTCTACTTTTATTTTATACACTAGTGTTCAAAAGTTTTTTGTGCAAGAAATTCATACTTTTATACAGTAATGACGCATCAAATTCATCAATTTTGACAGTAGATATTTATAATGTTACTAAAGTGTTTTATATATATATTTATATATATATATATATATATATATTCACAACTTCTACTATATTCATTGTTTCAAGAAACATTAAATCAGCACAACTGTTGTGAACATTGATAATACAACCCTCTACAATGCGAGTAATATGCAACTAAATCTTCACTCTGTGCGAATAAATGATGTCTAACATTAGCCATTGGCTAATATATTCTTAGATTTTACTTGCCAGTGTGAGTTGGAGGTTAAGTATAAGTTTAGTACAGATATATTTTCACTCGCCGAACACTCAGCGCTTCAGAGTTTTAGGCCCAATCCCAATTCTATTTTATACCCCTTCCCCTTCCCCTACCCCTCCGCCTACCCCTTCCCCTTGTCCCTTGAAACAGAGTGTCAAGGGGTAGGGGTGAAAATATTCCCCTAAGAATTGGGACACCACTACTATGCCGTCACACGTCATCATACGTCGTCTAGCTCCTACCATACACACACCTATACTGGTGTGCTAGTGTGCATTACTTTTCGTTAAAATCTTTATTAATGTCAAAAATGCTTACATTTAGGCCTATGTGTCTTTTTGTTCGCTCAAGCAGCCATGTTGCCGCTGAAGCCGGTTTACGCTGAGATAATTCATACCCCTTCGTTTGAAGTGTGGTCCCGAAAAATCTTCGTTTGAAGGGCTGTCTGGCCCTTCCCCTACCCCTCCCCCTCCAACCAAAAGAGAATTGAGACACCCCTACCCCTTCACGTGAACGCGCGAAACGGAGGGGAAAGGGGAAGGGCTAAAGGGTAGAATTGGGATTGGGCCTTACTCTCTGTCAAGAGATCTGTGCTATTTTTCAATTCATCTCAATGGATGCATAGTGTAGGCCTACCTGTATTTAACGTACCGTAAACTCTGTGTGAAGGCGCACAACTCACCGTCCCTTTGCTGAGAGCACCGTTTCTCACACACAAAAAAAAGAGAGGGAGAAGAAATAATATGCCGTGGACAGGACACACACAAAAATGATTTGTGAAAGCCATTTAATTGAATTCTCGTAAATGCAAAATAATTGCAATGCTCGGGCAAACCGCTAAAAAGTCGGTGTCGCTATAGAGTTAGAACCGGTGAATAGAAAGAGAATGATGTGCGCCAAATGAGTCGCTGTAGAAATCGAATACTTTAATGATTGAGAATGAAACACGAGAGCTAACGCAAATGCAATGACATGTGAAATAAGTTGTTTTAAAGTGTGGCTTGATTAAACGGTGGAAATAGCGGATGATGGGCACAGAACAGTAACAAAACTTAAGAGACATTTACAGTTACACACAGGTGTAGTAGTGTGCAAACTCTACTACATGGGGATGTTTAGATAACTATATATGACTTCACATGTTCACGTTTTTTGAAAATATAAGCTTTATAAACACATATAAAGTATATATATACAGGATATGACAGATTGTCAGTCTGGCAAGTAAACAAACAAAAAAATTACTAGCCAATGCTTAGCCTTGCGTAGCCAGACCTTCAGACTGACGGCAGAATGTCTGGGAACCTTGGCCGCTTTGAATGGATAAGGACCGCCTTTGAATGGATAATCACCTTTCGTTTTGTGCCGCGTCATGTTTAGGGGCGTGGAAATGTCCCCACAAAAACAGACCATGTGTAAAACTCTTGGAGGTATTTTAAAGATTCTATGTCATGAACTTTAAATATTTCACATACTTTTGAAAATCCAGCATTTAGTTGATCCTGATAAGCGCTCATTATCACAGTTGTAAACACAAGGGCTTTCTTCTAACATGAGGGGGTTTGGCGTCACGGTATATTTGTTTCCAGGCGGAACGTTAAAGAATGCGACCCGCACGTCTCCCTGAAATCCTGTATAATTCAACCAATCAGATGATGACTTCGAAACTCCCGAAGTGTTTCCAATTTTGTGTGCCGTATGCATCAGACGTTCAGCGGCGTGATGTTGGAGGCTGAGACTAGCCAATAGGGATGGGTACCGAAACCCGGTATTTAATCGGTCCCTGGGCTAAATTATGAAAGACCGAAGTATCGACAAGCTCTGACGTTAACGGTTCTGCTATCGGTACTGGAAAAATTTATAAAACACACATACATTTATTATTGATATATATATACACATTATCTTGCAAATTCTATCTCACCAGAGTTGCCAGCTGTTTTTCAAAACATTTGTCTATGATGCATTTTTGCTATTCGCAATTCAGAAGCGAGATCGCGCCCACACGGAGGAGTTTCAGCACGCGCAACATGAAAGCCCTGCTTAATTATGATAGAAGAGAGAACTAAACATTCAAACATCTGCTTACACTTTAGGCCTGTGGCTGTTTTATTAAGCTAATTTTATTTTTTTATTTCGGTTTTGGCTTCTAAGGATTATACAAAAGAAGACATGAGGTAAAGCTATTAAAAACTAGCTGCGTTTCGTATTGCGCAACTTCTTTCCCTTCACAGCGGTGCGCATTCGTTCCTCCCTAAAACCCAAACTTAACGTCAGAATCAGCTCAATCGGTGATTGTTGTAAGATGCCGTCTTACACTGTTGCTAAATTGCGGGACATGTTTGATAAATGTTGAAAGCACAATCCGCACAAGAGACGCTGAGAGGCTCAAATGTGTGCGCGCGCTCCAAAACGGACAAACAAATTACACTTTGAGCTTCGGGCGCATGTCCAATCGATCAAATACACACAAAAATATATCCAAATGGCCGGCGTGGAGAGTATTTACTTAAACACAGTTTATGTCTCAAGTGGAGGAGAACAGTTGGGAGAAAATCCGATGTGTGTCAATATATTGTCTTAAAGTGACAGACTGGCGCTTGGGCCATCAAAATGCAAATCTGCTCTTAATCTGAATAACGTTATAGCTTTAATAAGCATTAATCTATCAATACATACACTGAAAACTATGCAGTGTTCATTTACATTAATTCCTCCGTTCAATTAGGCCTAAGACATCGAGAGTCACGCAGACCTATAACAACCCAGCCACAACACATAATTGCAAATTACATGCCTTACCTTAACACAGAATCGACCACAGAGTCCAACGTTTATATTTTTTCTACGAATCTTTGAGTTAACGTGTACTAAACATGAGTGGAATTTGCACCGCAGCGCCCCCACACCTTGATGCTCATGACAAGAATAGCATG